TAATTTAATTAATTGTATTTATGGCATTGTTGTGGTTATACTGTTTGGAATAGTTGTATCATTATTAATGCATACTCAGAATCTTCACTTGAGTAAAAATACTCAATTTGCATCGTGAATGGTACCTGATTAAAAGTATTTAACGTCGATCAGAAAAATGTATTGTAAGAAGAAAATCCCTGCCGAATGTGATAACATTTTGAGCTGGAGAACACACAACTTACTGGTTGAACTGGGCAGCTTCCAATGTGAAGCAGGAAGCCTGCGCAAATCCTCCACCAGGGAGAGCTGTTGTTTCCTGTCAGGCAGCTCAATCTCATTCAGCATCATTACATTACATTACATGTCACTTGTTACACGCTTTTATCCAAAGCGACTTACATACTCAATACTGTGGGCAATCCCCACAGGAGCACTTTGGGGGGAAGTGTCTCAGGGACACAACGACATGCTGACTGCAGTGGGGTTTGAACCCTGATCCCAACACCAACGCAAAACCCACTGCGCCACAAGTATATATACTCTTCATCATCTATGCTAATTAGGTTAACAACTCATATTTAATCAATCTTACATACAAAAGCTGGAGATTAAATGGAGACTTTAGCCGACATAGAGAGCAGTCCACCATCAGTCAGGACCTTTAGCTCAGTGAGAGGACAGTGAGACAGCTACTGGCTGACAGTGTGGGCGAAGCCTGCAGAACATCCACCACATGTTATTTACATCCACCTGTCATCACACAGCTTCACCCACTTTAAATGTGTGCAGAGGACAGGAACCTGCAGGTAGATGTGTGTGTGTGTCTGTAACGGGTCATACACAATAAGACTCACATTAAGGTGAGTGTCTGTGGACACACACACACACACACACACACACACACACACACACACACACACACACACACACACACACACACACACACACACACACACACACACACACACACACACACACACACACACACACACACACACACACGACCCAGTGCCACTAAAGCTGTCCTCTGGGGTCCTCTGCAGAGCCACAATCTGAACTGTCTCCTCTCCGGTGAGCAGCAGAAACCTTCACATTGAACTTCTGCTGTTTCCAGATCAGGGACTCCAGTTTCATCCAGAGTCGAGTGTTGGGTTCGTCCGGGCACTAGTCCCAGCCTTCCTGTCGCGTGTCTGTGTGTTTGTGTGTGAGAGCTGGCCTCAGCTCCAGCTCGTGCTTTGGAGTTCTTGGCGAAGCCAGGACGGCAGTGGGTGGCCCAACCGATTCAGCAGACGCAGCAGCTCCATGTTGTGCTCGCGGTAGTATTCATTCAGGAAGGTACGGGACTGCGTGAACACACACAAAAAGAGATTGGGAAATGTCAGAGGTCGGTCCACAGTAGTTCAAAGTGTAATGATATTCTGCTGGGGGGTTTCTGCAGTGCTTCACGGACTGCTGGGATTTGAAGGTTGTTATTCTATGTTTTTGTTATTTTAAAATAATTATAATTCCATAAAAAAAATTGTTAGTCCTGTCTTTGTTTCCTACTGAAGGTTTTAACCTCTAGAAGCAGCTCATTCCCTCAAACAGTTGCTCTCTGTAGTTTCTAATATGTTATGGTGCATTTGTAGGGGACTACTTTCAGCAGCGGAGTAACACATGGTTGGTGCTCTACTGCAGTGCTTCCTACAGTGTGTTGAAAACAGGTCCAGGTGCCACAATATTGTATTAATGTAAACATTGTACAATTGTATTATTACTTATAGAGTAGAGACAAGAGCCAAGTTTAAGTGGACCAAAATCATTGTTTAAATGCTTCTGTTGGCTCATTGAGTGAAGCAGAGTGAGATGTACCTCAGGACTCATCTCCGGGTACTTCCTGCCTTTACTCTTCCCCAGACATTTGGCTCGACCTCCCTCACGCTGACACCAGAAACCTTTGCTGTCATCGTACCTGTTGACAACAACAGTTTATTTCACACGTGATGTATGGAAACATATGCTGGTTTTAACTCTCTTCAATTTTTTTTAATGTTTTCTATCTAAATGTTGAACTTCCAATGTGCATAATGTGTGTGAGTGAGTTACGAACATTAGAGCCTGGGTGTAGTTGAAGATGGGAGTGACCCCGAGGAATCTCTGGATTCCCTCCATCACAAGTGCAGGGTTGGAGCGCAGCAGAGCTCCGTCCACGATGTGCAGCTACAACACAGAGCACAGTCACATGATCAGACACATGATGATACAGCTTCTGTACAGCCGTTTACATCGTGGCAGTCCCCCAATGCACCTCCCAGAGGAACGTAGTTACCACTGAGATCATAATCCATGCTTGCATCCATTGGTGTTTAAGTAGCCATTATTAGAATTCCTTTATTTGTCCCGCAATGGGACAAATTGAAACAGCAAGAGTATAGTTCAGATTAACTAAAAAAGAGTTGACTTACATATTATATAAAAAAAGTAGACACGTTATTAATAATTAAACACAATAAGTGAAAAAAACAAGTAACAGATAAGTACAACATGGTAGAAAAAAAGAAGTATATTTTAAATAAATGACCATGTAAAATATAGCAGTAGCTGGTGCTGTTAACAGGTTGAAAACCACAGCTGGAGATGAAGAATAGGATAAAGTAATAGATAGCATTCAACACTGATCCAGTTCCCGGGTTCCTTATAAACGCAGCGTACGATCAAAGGATGGCGTACGCCAGTTTCTGACCCATGCGTACGCATAGAGACGGGAGACATGAGAAACTGCGACACCATTGACCGAAGGAAGAATGGAGAGAAACATGTAAAACAATACCATAAATCTCTCTGCATCATATATGAAGAATACATTTACAGAAATGGGTAAAAGCCAATCTTAAAATTATTAAACAAACGCCTGTTTGATACCCTTGAGTGCACACAAAAAAATAACTTGGAGAAATAAATAAATACGGATATGTTATTGAAAACTCTCTCTTACATGTTATGAAATGTATTCTAATAAATTATGCGGTAAACAGAAAGACAGAATTACTTTGAACTTTTGCATTTCTGTAGGTCGTGTAGATACGAGTGCATAGTTTTATATACTATATACAGTGGCGACTGGTCATTAGGGGCACAGCCCCACCTAGTGTCAGCAGAAAGTATTACAAATAATGATTACAAAAAAATACAAAAATGTAAATTATAAAATATATTTTAAGATCATGTTTAATCCTCTGATTCGTCTGTACATTGCTGTTTTAGTCTGTGTTCTTCTAATTAGTGTCTACAGTGTGTGCCTATTGAGCTGTTTAGAGCCATGAGGGACAAAACCCAATCATGCCCCTCCCTCTCACTGTCTAAGTGAACGGTGACTGTAAAAACTACACTGCGCAACTACACTGTGCATGCAGCGCTGAAAAAGTATGAGAGTGCTCTCATACTTTAAATTGTATATATTTATTTAAATATATGTGTGTGTATATGTCCGCATCTGTAGCCTGTTATTGTCTCATTATACCGCACTGTGAATGAATTAAAGTAAATATATAAGTCGTCATGAACACATCTGTCCATCAGACAGAGGGCTGCTGTGCCTCCTGTCATCATTAATGGACGTCTCTTTAAAATGACCGCTCAGAGGAGAGGAGTTCTCATTTCTCTAACCGCCTGCTGCTTCCCCTCCTCTCTCCT